ATTATTATTTTGAGGTAAAATGTGTCCTGGACATGTTTTCAAGAGATTCACGCCGTCAACCATCACTGCAAGTTGTATAGTTTGTTTTCCTCCGGGTTTTATACTTCTCTTAATTAATTAATAAATGCATCCTTCTTGTTTATCTCTCCGAGCATTCGCTAAACAAAAGCTTTGGGTGCTAATGCAAATGAAAATGCGCAGGTGTGACTGGTTTTCTTGATAGGGGAGACGTTATTTCCACAACAACAAACAAAAAGTCGCTGCTACTTGCTGCTTAATGTTATTAATAAGACGTGTTGCTGAAAAAAATCTGGTGGGGAAATTAAAACTTTAAAATGATCTTTTTAAAATGGAGCGGAAAAGAAGACAAGGCTTTAAAGATAGTTAATAATGGTTTGATCATTTTTATAACCTGGCTGGGGGATATTCTGTAATTAACAGGGGCAGAGAAAATGAAATCAGGTTGTCAGGGTTGCAGAAGTTAACAATGTAAAAGCGCAATTTTCACCGTTCATTAATCTAGAGTGCACATTGCTGGAGGTTATCTGCAGGATTTTTTAAGTGTGGACAAGCTATTGTTTTGGCACGCAGCATCAGGGTATTGCTGAGAAAAAAAGGGTGTAGACTAAAAACAAACACAAGAGCCAAATACTTCACCCAAGAAAGAAAGTTGTAATTTACTCAGCCTCACTTTACTAACACTTGGTGCATCATGTTTGGTTACAAGTCAAGTGAGAACCAATGATCATAGCATTTTTGCATAAAAATAATTGTAAAAATATGTATGTATATGTCTTCTGTAGAACACAATAGGAGATGTTTTGAAAAAAGCTCATGCTGCTCTTTTCCATACAATGAAACTGAATAAGGGGCTTGAGCTGTCAAATCCGGTATACACTTTAGAGAAGCGCCGATACTGATCCCGATATTGATAGCTGATTATCCAGAATGATATCTGCCAATACCGATAGTTTGATTTCCTTACGGAAAAAAATCTCTGCTAACCAATGCTGTAAAATATACAGGGAACCCTCTCATTTGGTTTATTACTATAATGTTAAAGGTTATATATGTCATATATATGTGTTTGCAATGAAATAAAAATATTAGTGCGCTGTTCAGTAAATGGACAAAACTACTTAGTGCATATATTAATTTAACTGCAGCCTGCCTGATCGACATCATACTGCAATATGGATTTTATTTCAACATATCACGCACCCTTAACCCAAATGCAAATGAGCAGATTTCAGATTTTTTTTGTTTGTCTGTTCCTAAAGCTAAGCCAACATTTTACAGAAAAGAGCATAAAGAGCTTGTTGCATCATTTTTGGATCTTGACAAGCAAAGCCCCTCATTCATTGTATGGAAAAGAGCAGCATAAACATTTTTCTGAATATCTTCTTTTGTGTCCCACAGAAGAAAGAGTCATACGAGCTTTTGGGTGAATATTCATGAACCATGAACCATAAAATTGCTCTGGCAAAACCACTTTACTCACATGGCAACAGAGAACCAAGTATTAACTATTATGAAAAACCATTTCAAAACATGGTAATACAGTGCATAAAACCCAAAACTGGATGCGGCAATTGATCCTATGGGCACTGTGGGATGCTCGGTTGCTGTTTTTGATGTTGAAAGCAGCAAAGAGTAAAACCATGGAAACAGGAGGGTGGGGGGGTTTCAAAGGGAGGTTTCGCATTATATAATATTCAGTACCAACGATGCCACCAAGGAGGATATTGGGACAAACTGCCCTCACAGCCCTCAATTACAGCTAAGATTCACAATACAAATCTAGCGTTTATAATGCAATTACCTAAACATACGCTGAGCCCATCTACAAACAAAGGCATTTTACACACATCTGTCTATAACAGGCAGTAAATACCTGCCTGCGCCGGCCGGTGAAAGAAAAACTGCCACTTCCCTGGAAAGGCACAAATATTATACAGCTGACATCGAACAAATCAATATCCTCGAGTCTCAAGCCATCCGCTTCGACTGGGTTTCACCACAACATGTTGCTGTGCCAAATTGCCCTGTTACCACGAGCATTGCCAGACAATAACATTTTCCATCAGACCAAATTGAGGAATCGAAGAGTGAATTTGTGGCCGAGAGCTCTCTGCTGGAGCTGTTTGGATGCATGCCAGGCTCAAATGATCTTTAGTTTTATCAATCTCGGACTCAAAACAAGCCAAACTAGCGCCTGGCCTCCCAGCTTGGGCTTAAAGGGAAACGCAGGACTGACGTTGTTCTCCTGCAGTGCGAGCAATTTTGAAATTAATATCAAAGACGTTAGACAGACAACAGACCATCTCCTTCCTGACGGAGATATTATGCAACGTGTGAATAATTCCTCAACCATTTGATGCTTCTTTGATGGCCTTGTTAATCAAGTTATTGGATTTACGGATCATGCGTGCAGAGGCAGGCATCAAAATTTGCGCAATAATATCTCAGAGTTAAAGAATTCAGGGTGTTATTGACAGCAGGCAGATAACTGTGCGATTAAATAACTGAATGATGTGTAAAATATAAAGGTGTTTAAACCTGCAGGTTAGGATCATGCATCAGGCTCAGTCTGTATGAAAGGAAATCAAGTGTACACCACAATCATTTTTGTTTTTGTCTTGTTTTCCAATTAAAGTATCTAAACATCATGAAACAAGATAAAATGCCATTTAGAAGGTTAAGACTTGTTTTCATAAAAGTTTGGATTTATTTTTCACACGCACATTGTCAAAGTATGAACCTTGTTTTAAGCAAGAACATCCAAGAATTTATGCTTTCAACAAAATTTTAAATCGTTTGTCAGTAATCTAAGAAAATAAACATATATTGAATTTTAGATATACATATTTAAATAAATGTAAACATTGAATTTTAGATATATTTAACTTAAAAACCTTTTACATTGAATTTTAGATATACATATTTAAATAAACGTTAATATTGTATTCTAGATACACATATGTAACTTTAAAAAAAAAACAGTTTACATTGAAGTTTAGATATACATATCTAAATATTTAAACATAAATATTGAATTCTACACATGTAACTTAAAAAAAACCGTTTACGTTGAATTTTTGATATAAATATTTAGATATACATATCTACAGTACATATTTAACTAAACGTAATTATTGAATTCTAGATATAGATACTTAACTTTAAAAAAAACATTGATTTATAAAACATAAATATTGATTTAACTTTAAAAATGTGTACACTGAATTATATATATATATATATATATTTAAACATGCATTTATATTGAATTTTGGGAAAATACCTTTTCAAATATTATATATGTATGCAAGCACACATTTTTACACACATACATCATTAAATATTTAAATAAACACATATATTTCATTTTAGATATGAATATTTAACTTTAAATGAAAGTTTTACACAAGTTTGCTTAGAACTTTAATAGCCTTTTAAAGGATGTTTGGATAAAACAAGATCAAAATTCTGATTAAGAAATAGATTTTTTGGAGTGTAAGTATAACACATTAAAGGGACGAGGGGTGTGGAGTCAATTTTCTTTGAACAAACAGGGTTCTTCATCTGCCATCATATCTAGTCATTTCCTCCGATTCACTTTCTCAGACTGTGATGGAGGAGGATTAATTCTCTATGTCTGCTTTTTATCTAGGAGGGACCCCGCTGTGTGCGTCGAGTGTGTGAACACATGTTTAGTCTGCCTGAGCAACTGTTTTAACCTCTTTCTCTCTCTCTCACTTTTTATTGTGATCGTCTAGTCATGCATCTGTGACCAGAGCTTGCAAACAACTGAATTTCACCTAAAAAGGAGTCAATGATCCTTAATGACTTTTATTTATCTTTTTTTTTTTAAAAGCTTAAGTGTATCATTTCTGTTATTGTCAGCGTCAACATACATAACTACAAAAATAATGAGTTTTTCCGTGTCTATCATTGCTCAGCCAAACAGATGGTTTATACTGGTGTTACACTTTTCAGGGAAACTGACCTACATATGGTTCCCTTACAACTGTCTCTGCTTATTAAAAAGGAATAGAAGAACGTATTTTAGCATGCATTAATTACACATCATTAAACAATTCAAAATGAAGTCAAAACAACCAGCATCATAAATATTTTCCACTATCCACACATGCAGGTGCACGATGTTCAGATAGCAGTTCATTGAATGCATCCTCATAAACACTTGCGCAGATTGCTCTTACTACAAAATAGATAACTGCGAAAACATCACTCTTACAATCTTTCCAAATATTATTGCTTAGTAAACATACATTTTGATACAAGGTTGCCATATTGGAAACACATGGAACAGTAAACCAGGTGTCAACAAGGACTTTCATCAACAGATGGAGTCCATAGTGCAATGAAGCAGAAAAACGGCTCATTTATTAAAAATCGTTAAATGTCATCGGCAACTTGAGAATTCAGTCAATCCTTGATGCATAACATGAAAACAAATTGAATGTGCATCAAGGTCTCAGGGTAAAATTCATATGGATGTAGAGGAGAAAGTGTGTTTTTAGTTGCTGTGGCCATTATTTATTTTTTTCACTATTCTAATCTCTTTTAAATGATGACATACATTTTTAAAAGGAACAGTTATGTCCAGTCTCTCAAGTAATAAGAATAACTGCATGCCTAAAAATAGTCAAATATTTTTTAAACGGCACACATGACAGTGTCTTCAAAAGTATTTCATGTGAACATACACATTTACTGAAATAATGTTTGCAAATATCTAAATAAGCATAGTTTACATTAGTATCGAGTATTTCTGATATCATAGTCAATATTAGATAAAAAATAAAGCATCCTCCAAAGCAAACTGACATTGTATAACAACTTGTTTATGACATTTAGACATAATTAGACATATTTCCACACAACAAATGCTATTTTTCCTCCATGACTATTCAAAGGCAGTCTAAATGTGAGAGTTTGCCAGCAAAATAACAACAACACAAGCAAAACTGTACCTTAAACTCATCTCCAGCATGTCAAGAGTATTCTTGTGTTCATAAGCGACGAGAGAGAGAGAATTAAGGAGACAGACAGACAGAAAGAGAGAGAGAGACAGCATAAGGAGGAGGAGAGTGAGAGAAGTGCATGTGGGATGAAGGGAAGAGAGAAACAGATGGAGCTCAAGAGAACAGTGAGGGTTCGAGAGACACAGACAGAAGGGAAAATGAACCGAGGGAGGAGGAGGAAGAGGAGGAGGAGGGTGTTACATGGGCGTGTGTGTGTGAGAGAGAGGCAGGAATGAACACACTACACTATTGTAAAATGGGACGCTGTCTGTGTGCGTGGACAGAAAGGAGAAAAAGAAATGTGTGTGCGCACTTATTAACCGAAAGCAAACAAGTGAACATCATAAACTGTAACCTCATACCGCTGTTGAGAGGGTGCGAGCATCATAACGAGAGACAGAAGACGGAGAGCAACAGGTTGATGAGCAGTCTCCCTAGAAACAGCGGGGAACAGCTGTCCTGTGGTTTCGTGTTCAATCACGTGTTTACACGATAAACGATGTGTGAATTCGCAACAGCATACTACTCTTATTTCTATCATTTCTTTATCCAACATATTTTACAAGCTATTTCCTGTGAATTTGCGAGACTTCAGATTCTTTAGCTGCTACAGATAAATAAGTGCAAACGGTAAAACCTCTGCGCTGCAAAACCAGTATGTTTATGAGTATGATAGTAAATTAAAATAATATGATACCAAATATCAGTTTGCAGTTTAAAGCAGCGTTGTACAGGTAAAATAACCTGAAGCGAATGACACCGGAAGTCTCGCACATTCAAGTTAGATTAAGTTAGTTGGCCACGCCCGCACTTGAGCGTACATTTATGTCAGTTTAAAAATGCAAATCTTGTTATGCGTTTTGGTCGTTCATTTACACGGCAAATGTGTTTTGGTGGGCTACAAAATGTTTCAAAGTGCAAGTTTTTGTAAATGATATCAGTATCGTCCCAAATGTGAGGTAATGTGCATATGCATATGCTACTTGTTGTGAGCATGGCATAGGCTACTAGTGTTTCTTTACAAACTGACGTCTCCAGATATTGGCCTGGCATGCATAAAACAGTTTTAGTCAATTTCTCGAATACACGTGAATGGGAAAGTTACAAGTGAAACTTTTCAAAAACACAAAGGAAAAACTTTTACGTTCTTAGTAAAATGCTGTTTTGCAAAATGTTAACATACCCTAAAAATAAGGTGGACAAGTAAATAACTAGGGGCCAGTTTTACTAACATCTTGCGCCAGCGCAAACCGTCTTTTGGCATTTAAAATAGTACTGTCAGTTTTTACTAAAGAAGCTCAGTGAAGAATTAGCACTGAAAAGGCGTGGACAGTTATTTTTGCGCCTGACCTTATTGAATATGCATTTGTAGGAGTTTCCCTTTCAGACGCAAAATTTATGGGAGGAGAGTATTCAAATGAACCACGCAATGCGTTTTACTAATGTTTGCGCTCGTCAAATTACTGGTAGGCTATTTGCGCCATTATTTAACGCCCAAATAAAGCATGTCTTAAACTATTTTGCGCTAGGAGGAGGCACCGCAGAGAGCGCGCAGAGAGGATTTTTTCCACGTGTATTAATTTATTTAGAAAGCAAGAACACATTGTCCAAACATATCCTTTAAAGGGATAGTTCACCCAAAAATGAAAATGTGATGTTTATCTGCTTACCCCCAGGGCATCCAAGATGTAGGTGACTTTGTTTATTCAGTAGAACTCAAATTATGATTTTTAAGTCCAGCCGTTGCAGTCTATCAGTCGCATAATGCATGGCAATGGTAACAAAATCTATGAGAGTAAAAAAAACATGCACAGACAAATCCAAATTAAACCCTGCGGCTCGTGACGACACATTGATGTCCTAAGACACGAAACGATCGGTTTGTGCGAGAAACCGAACAGTATTTATATCATTTTTTACCTCTAATACACCACTATGTCCAACTGCCTTGAGCGCGCGCACGGCATCCGTAGTATGTGATGTTATATGTGTTACCTTTTATACAGCCCTGCTTTCCTTTCATCTACTTTTCCATTTGTACTATATTATCTGTTGTTTGCGTTTAGTGTCACACAGAGTAAGTCGGCGGCGTAGTTTACGCAAGCGCCGGAAGTGATCTCTCGCGCGTATACGTCACTCATTGTTTACACAGTGCACAAACATTGTAGGTATGACAGCTAATCAAAATGGTACTTACTTGCGCTTATCCGGATTGTTCAAACGACCTTAAAACTAAAAGATTACATTTCTCGCGCGAACTCATTCGGGAGTGATGACTTTCCACGTATTCCCAACTTCTGAGCCTGCTCGCCCCGCTGTTTTGGAATTTGCCAATTTGCTCTGCTTAGTAAAACTGACCCTATGAATAACAAAGTGTATTACAACAAACAGTTTCAGAAAGTGACTGACAGATTAAAAAGGGCTGCAATCACTTTTACACAAAAAAAAGGTGGAAATTAGGGCTGCACGATAAATCGCATGCGATATTTAACGCGCATCTTGTCAGAAAGCAGGATCTGTAATCAGCGGTAAATCTCCATCACCTGCGGGCTTTCACATTGAGCAGCATTAACTACACAGAGCCGTTGTTCACTGACAAGCTGCGCA